CCAGCCCGGCCCCCTCCCGCAGCCCCGCTCTGCGCGTCCGGCACAGCCCCCTCGAGCGTCCCCGCCCCCCTCAGCCCAGCTCTGAGGGCTGGGGGCAAAATCTCCCCTCCCGTGCCGGGTGGTGTGTCCCACTGACCACCCCAGGTTGCCCATAAAGGCTAAATGACTTGCCTGGATTTGAGGCGGGGAAGAGAGACTCATTTGTCAGTGTGAAGGCCTTAGTCCCACATGTTGCAACATAGAGGTTTCACCCCCATAGAGTCCCGGCCAGGGTTAGCGTATTAATCGAAACAAGCTCCTCTTCATTCAATCATTCCCTAGGGCACCCCAAGAATTACCTTTTTTTTTACTACTAGTCCTCCCCCTGCAATTTGATTGATGTGGGTTGGCCCCTTCTGCACATCCATAAGGAGCCTTGTAGAATCAGGGCCTAAATTTTAAAGTCTATTGAAGATTGAGAATTTTAATTTCAGTGGAAAACCCTGGGACAAGCATATTCCCTGCCTCCCTATGCTCCTGGCCTGCCATGTTTTTTTTCCACTCACTCCCCTCCAAACAAAAAAAGTATTTTGGTTTAATTTAGGAAAACAATGTATTTCCCAACATTATTTAACTTTGGACAACAGTGAGTCTCAAGCATATAAGATTTATCATCTTTGCAGCTACGCTAAACAGTATCCATCTCTCTGTTCTCCTGTAATCTGTGTAATGGTCACTTCTCTATTCCGGTTCACGTTCTAGGGATGTGAATGTGCATCCAAGTACACGGTTAACTGTTGAACCTGGGCTCATTGATTAACCCTCATGGTTACACACAGCCCTGTTCCCTTCCCCGCCCACCGCTGCCTCTGTATCAGAGGCAGCAGAGGTGGAGGGGAGGGGGCAGGAGCCAGAGCACTTGGGGAGCCAGCATCAAAGCCATCTCCCACACAATCACCAGCTAAAAGTGCATTTTAACATCCCTATCAGGTTCACAGTGCCAGATCTGAAAGCCTAAAACTTCAGGGCAGGCCTAAAGATTTTAACAATTCCAGAAAATCATGAGCTGCAGACTAAAAGCCTGAGGTTAAACAGTTAGGTATACAAACGCATACTATCCCTAAGCTTGTAAAATGAGACTCACATAATGAAATGTCAGATAAGGAATAACACATGCCATAACAAGGCACATGTGCAGCTCTTTTAAGATAAGAAATATTATCATAAATTCCATATGGGCCTAGCTTATTGGAGCCCCATTCTTGGTTGGTCCCCAGGCACTACCACAATAAACATAATTCACAATGAAAGGGAAACACCGAAGAACTGGAATATTTTTTTCTTTCCCTCTTTTTTTGCTTCCATTGAAGACATACGTATCCCACTTTAAAATGTTTCTTACAGGTACAGGTTGCACCTCTATAAACAAGAATTCTCTGGTCCGGCAACATCCATGCTCTTTCCAGACCATGGATGTTCCAGGATCAGAGAGTCCCCATGTGCCGTGGGAGGACCAGGAGCTCATCATTATGTGGGGCAGGGAGTGACGTGCAACTCAGCTGGGCTGAGGCGAGGGGCTGGCACACACCTCAGCTGGGCTCTGGGGATGAGAGCAGGAGTCGACACAAGGCTCAGCTGGGCTGCAGAGGGGGAGAGGACTGGGAGCCAGTGCATGGCTCAGCTAGGCTCATGGTGGGGAGACCAGGAATTGACATGGCATAGCTGGAGGTGGGGGCAGGAAGCCGTGGAGGACTGGGCAAGGGAAGCAGCAGCAGGGGGACCAGAAATGATCTCCCTCATCAGGAAAAATCCCTCATCTTAGAACAGTCAGATTCTAACAATGCTGGACCAGGGAGGTCCCACCTGTACTGTTGTAATTTCCCTCTCCCCCCAGGGGGCACTTAGGACAGTGGGTGTGATATTATAATATCCGTAAGAAATTGAAATGTGTGGGGGTTCAGGGCAGGGAATTGTGATGTGGAGAGGGGCTTAGGGCAGGGAATGGGGCGTAGGTTGTAGAAGTCAGGGTTGGGTTTTTCTTGCGCAAGAAGGGGCAGTGTAGAGCCTCTTCCTTCTGGCACAAGAGCCTCTTCCGCAAAAATGGTGGCTCAGCAGATAAGTAAATGAGGCTCTGCGATATTCAACGCTTATGGATGGAAAAAATTAGAGGGAACACTGGGAGGTATTCCACCAGCCATCCTCTTTCACCTGCTTGCTGCTTAATGCGGCAGCCTAAAGGAGAGCCCCGGGAGCCTAGCTGAGAGCACACCTGCCTCTTTCTGCAGTCAAGTGCCCCATCCAGTTCTTACTAGAGTAGCACATTGCCTTACTTTCACCTCTGGTCCAAAGCCTATTTAACTTCGGGATGTTAAAATGCAAGTAATTGTGTAAACATGTAACCACTGAAAAACCCAGACTAGTGGTTATACCTTCACACCCCTAATTTAATTCATCACTAAATTTGGTTAACCATAGGTAAAAATCAGGGTCTAGTAATAACATCCTTCGTCTCTTAAGAAACTTCATCCCTTCCTCTTGGCCAGGCACCTGGTCACCAAGGATGCATGTGTTTGTCACGCTCAGCTCAAGTCATTGTAATTTACTCTAGCTGAGGCTGTCTAAAGAAAATGCAGGGCTCCAGACGCTACAACATGTAGCTGCACGGTACCCGGTTGTAGCCAGACAGATACTCCCATACCCCCCATCACATCCATCTTATTTGCCTCTCTGAGGTTCCTGAAGCATACAGGGCAGAGAAGGAGCAATAAAATCAGCATAGTCTATGCTGGCTCATCTGATCCTGAGAAGCTGAAAACATAGATATGAGAAAAGAGCGATTAAGGCAATAAGCTGGCCTCGAGGTTGCGAGAACTGCCCTGGCTGGCACCCACGTTGATACGATCACACACAGTCATCCCTGGGAGAGGAATCTACCACTGAGAAAAGAATTTCCAGTACTTCCAATTTAGTTCTCTCTCTTACAAGTGTAAATTAAGTTCACTACTCCCTTGTAAGAACTGGTGTCAAAGAGACAGACCAGCACCATTTGGCATCACAGATAAGAAAGAGAAATACATGACCCCATGGGTATAAATATAGGTCCAGCAGCACACTCACTTTGAGTGTCAATCTATCATCTACCTGCTGGTCGGGTTAGGTGTTTGACCTCCTGAGGTTCCACGGGGACGCCGCCCACCTCGTATTTTCGTCTTTCCAAGGAACTGAGGGACCGGCCCTGGCTTGATCCGCTGGAGTCGAGAGGCACAGAAGGGGGTAAAAATTGTACCTGGATGTGGTCCTTTGTCTTAAGTGTACACATAGACTTAGAGCTCTTTAAAGATTAAGCTGACACTTGGTACCATTATTTCTATTTTCTATCTTTATTTTCTTTGTAACTATTTTTAAGATCTATATTTGCTAGCAGTTAAGAAATAGAGCAATAGCCATTGTAACCATATGATTTATAAGCTTCTTTAATAAACCTGTAACTGTTTAAGTTTTAACCTGACTCCTTCAGTTGCTGTAACAGAACCAAGCACAATTTAAAAGAACTTCAGCCGGTCATAAGGGACAGGTATAGGAAGAGCTTGGGCGTTTGGATTGTGTCACTCCCAGGTGACAGATCCGTTGGGGCATCTTCCCTAGACTGCCCGTTGCAAAGGGATCCTGTATCCTAGCAGCTGAAATCTGAGATGTAATAAGCTCTTCCTATAAACTCAGGGCATCTGTCAGCCTGTTTGCTGCCCTCTGCAACGGGACCCCGGTCCTAACAGTAAAATCACGGATGTTAAACTCTTTTCAGGACGCCCTCCAGCCTCCTAGGCTGCCCACTGCGATGAGACCTTGCGTCTCAGCAGTTGAAGACTTGGGTATAACACACACGCACACACTGCCCTGACCGTCGGCTGACACCAGTTTAAGCAATTGTGAACATATAAACCCATGCTCCAGGCTATTCCCAGATAAAATCTATTGTAAAATATAATTACTTCCAGTTATGTATATAGTTGTAATTTAGGGTAAACTAAGCTACATTAACAGCTGTTGAAATCACCCCCAAACCAAGCATTATATATCTAAGAAACTAACAGCTAAGGTTAATTTGAAAAGAAATCTAAACATGTTCAGGTATGGATATACAGTGCAGGAACCAAGGCACCTTAACTCTGCCGTGTAAGAAATAAATCAAACTTCCCATGTTTACTCATCCCATTTTTAATTTACATTAAAAATCCCTTATTTCTAATTGCAATTTTTGCTTTATGTCACTCTAGGGTAGAGTTGAGATTTATATTGAAAAAGTTTTTTTTATTATGGAGGAAACAGACTATTTTTTTAAAAGAATTAATGGTCAATGCACAATATTTCAGTGAATTTTAATGATATGGGGAGCTTGAAGCATCTTTGAGAAGACAGCACCAAAACATCCATGCATTTCACTGTGCATTTCACCTTAATTTGCTTGATTGTTTTTTCAGTTTAACCTTAGCTTTAAGTTTTCTAATCTTTGGTTTGGGGTTGTAGCACTGATTATCCTAAATTACTGATTGTACTTTGTCACTCTTAATTCCATTTAACTTGATTATTTTTAGTTATATCATACTTGGTATACCACAAGGACCATTCCTGTGGCATCTTACAGATGAAAACATGTAAAACCCACTTCATCAGATGAGTTGGAGTGGAAACTACAGAGTCCAGGGTATATATAACAGAAAAAAAATACCTGTCAATTGCAGAACCAGTCTTAATGAAACCAGTTAAATCAGACTGGATGTGTCTCATTCATAGCATGTGATGTCAAAATGTGAATATCAAAGTTAAAGGAGGTGCCTTTGTAGTGCATTAATCAGTTAAGACCTGGTATACCACAGTGTTCTTGAAAGCCATTAAGATGAAACCTCTCATATTAACAATCCCTCAGAAAAGGGATTACTGTCTTCATATGTAGCCAGAAGAATGCTAGCTAATTATTTCTTCTGGAACTGCAGGGCAGCCACAAGAACATTAAAATAATTCTTTAATCAAACTTCCTGATTCATTTTTTACATCTGAGTTTTTTGTATAACACCCTTAAAGCCTATCTCTGATCAGTGCCGCACTTCAAAACTACAAGTTGAAGCCTTTCTATTTAAAAAATATTTTAAGATTTTTGTTTAGGAATTCTGGTTGCAATCCTGCAAGTTCTCTATAGCTTTGTCTACACTTCTGACATTAAAGCTTAACCATGGTAGCACTTTAAAGTGTGGCTGTAGCAGGAGCAATGGGAGAGAGTTCTCCTAGCATTTTATGTAAACTAGCAGGAGCAATGGGAGAGAGCTCTCCCCACACTCTATGTAAACTAGCAGCACTCCAGCCTGTCCCCATCCCCCGTGGGATCCAGGTTAAGGGGTTAACTTGTTAAACCTTTAACATTTAACCTGTTAACTGATTAATTGGGATCAGGGGCAGCCCGTGCCTATAGGCAAACTAGGCAGTCGCCTAGGGCACAAAGTTGCATGGGGCACCAAATTCCAAACCCTGCCCCTTCCATTTCCCATGCCTTACCTGGAGCAAGGCTTCCCTGTGGCCGGGAGGGGGGTAAGTCCTGGGAGAGGCAGTACGCAGGAGGGTTTCCCCTGTGCTGGGGGGCGGGTCAGCCCTGGGGGAGGAGGAACGCGGGGGGTTGTCCTCTGGGGGAGGGGTTGGCCCCGGGGGAGGAGGAATGCAGGAGTTGCCCCTGGGGGGGGGCCAGCCCCCGGGG